GTTGAGACTCGGGCAGTCTCGGGGAATTCCCCTTCCGGGGTAGTGACGGGGGCATTTGGGCCTGTTCCTCCAGCCGTGTTGTATGAGTCTGCCAGTGGGCTCCCTTCCTTAGTGTTTTCACGGCTGCCCCGGTTTTCTGGTACGGCCGGGGCTTTGGGGGAACGGCTCGGCCCCGGGGCCTGTCGTGTAGGTTCCCGGGGCTGGGGAGGGGCTGACTTGGGGGCCTTGGCCCCGTTAGACCCCGTGGGGGGTTTTATCCCCCTCTAGGCGGGGCTTGTGGTTACGCGGAGTGGGGTTTTTCCTCCCCACTCGCCGTACGTGCTGTTGGACGTCGGCCCCTCCCCGGGCTCGGTTCCTTGGCCTTTGAGTCGGTTGGTTCCGTCCTGTGGGTGGATGTTTCCTCCCCCGCTTTTTGGGACGGTGTTTTTGTCATGTTTCCCCGTTCGATGGGGTTCTGCGTGACTTTTGATCTCGGGTGCGCCTGCGCCTTCGTGTGCCTTCGGGACTAGTGTTGGCTTCTGTGTTCTCGAGGGTACGGGAAGGTTTTTCGCTACTTCCCGCATTATTGGAACGTCTGTCGGCTCCTAGTACTTGTCGCCCTGTTGGGCTACTTGTCGCCCTGTTGGGCTACTTGTCGCCCTGTTGGGCTACTTGTCGCCCTGTTGGGCTACTTGTCGCCCTGTTGGGCTACTTGTCGCCCGGTTGGGCTACTTGTCGCCCGGTTGGGCTACTTGTCGGCCGTTTGGGCTACTTGTCGCCCGTTTGGGCTACTTGTCGCCCGTTTGGGTTCCCTTTTTTTGGGCTCTTTGCTTCTTTGGCCGGTTTTCTTGTTCCTGCTTCCTCTTTTGGCTCTTTTTCTCGTGCAATAGTCCTGGCTGGCGCCTTCCCGCAGGGAGGGTGTGCGGTTCGGCCAGCGTGTTATGCGCATGCGCCGTGGAGTTTGTTTTGGTCTGGGCGATGGTTCAGTGCTGGGGTTTTGCGCCCTTTTTTGCTACAGTGCTTCGCCTCTCGTTCTTCTCCCTGGCTGCGGTATGTGCCCCTTTGCGCCAGGGGTGTCCTGGTTCCCAGTTGTGGGGAGGACACCGCGGTTTTCTGTGTCATGGGTGTGGACCGCCTCCTTCGCCTCTCCCTGTTCTCCTGCGGGTCCGGCTCTGGCGTCTTCACCTGGCGGTGCTCCCAAGTTCTTCTGGGCACGGTTGAGTCGTGTCAAGTTCGAGCCACCATTCGCCAGGTGAGTTTCTGCGGTCTGGCGTCTTTTGGCCGGGCGCTGGATGCGGCGGTGTTCATATACCTGTCTTTATTTAGGTATAATTTTGTACAACTGAGACCGTTCGCACACCAGTGACTGTCCCTTTATCACCCCTTCCTGTCCCCCTCCTGTGCATGTCCAACCCATGCTACAGTCGTTCAGGGGACCCTCCTTTTTTAATGTTGTGAGGTGTGGGGGTTGTAGGGTTGGTTCTGTACTCACCTGGTGAGGCTCCTGGCTGTGCTTGCAGGATTTGAGCTCTGGCTCTTGGGTCCCGCCTATCTGGTAGAACTTGCGGGATAGTACCAGTGGAGTGCAGTGGTGCTATTGGCACTTTTGGGGAACACTGTATTACCATCAGTGGTCTGTGCTTGTTACACGACCTACTTGCGAGCATAAGCCTTCTTGCTGGTTCGTCCGTGGACTTCCAGGGCGCACTGGCCTGTTTTCGTATGGCAGTTCCGGCCCGTCCTGGTTGTGGGGGTATGTGGGCCGGTGGACTGCTCCTAGCAGCTGCCTGGTGGGCCATCCTCTGGCCGGTCTGGCCTGACCTTGGGCCGGGCTTGAGGTGTAAAAGAGCTCCCAGTACCTCATCCAGCAGGTATCGAGCGGGGTTTCTCCGCCGTCGGTCGCCTGGTGCAGGTTTCTGGGCCTGCAGGGTTTTGTCGTGTCTCCGTTGGCCCTGTCTGGGGTCTGCCTGCTCCGTTCTCTGCCTTTGCAGAGGGGAGTTGCTATTTACATGTTGCATGTTGCAGTGGTGCCTGTTGCTGCTGCTGCTGCACGTGAGCATTGGTACCGTGTTTCACGGTGGCGTGTCCTTGTTCCTGTGTCCGGTTGTGGAGTGGCGCTTTGCTGCCGTTTTGTGCCTGGGGATTGCGTGGGGTTTTTGTCCCTGCCTGATTGTCCACCCCTGGTTGTTCTCCTGTTTTTTTTTTTTTTTGTGCTTCTGCTCTTTCTTCCTGCCTCTTCTGCAGCAGGAATGTTCTGCGTGTGTTCTTAGGCGTTGGTCAGCCTGTGTCCTGTGATGTGCTTCTTTGTTTCGGTCTGTTGCAGTTGTTCGGGCCCCTTGGTTCGGGTCCTGTTCTGGCGGCGACCCTTCCGCCTTCTTTGGTTTTCCTAGCTTGCCCTGCCGGTTGTTGTTGTTGTTTTATTTTTTTTGGGGGGGTTCTTGCGATGTCTCGCGTCGGACCCGTCGTTTCTGAACTCCTGGCGGGCTTGCATGCTTCGGAGTTTTTCTGTTCGGCAGACGTTCCATCTCCTTGTGCCGCCTGGGTTTCGGTGGTCGCGCCCGAGATCTTCTCGCGGCTCCGCCTTTTTCCTGGGCTCGGGGGGGCCTTGTCGGGGCTGCTTATGTTCTGCCTCGTGGTCTCGCCTCCGGTTGGTGGTCGGGTGGCTTCGTGGTAGGTGTCCCACCTGCGTGCTTCTTGGCGGCAGTATGGGGTATTTTGGCGGTCCTTCCTTTTCCTGTCCCTTCTTCGGTGGGTCCTTCTTGTTGGCTTGGTTTACTCTCGGCTTGGTTTTCTAGTGGGGGTTGGGGGCCGTCGTCTTGCCACATACTGTCGCCTCTTTTCGTGCGGCGCAGGCGGAGCCGCTTCAGCTTGCTTTCGGTCTTGGTGTTGCTTCTGCACCGTTAGTCAGCTGTCTTGTGCGTCATTTCACCTCCGGCCTGTTCGTGCGCCGCTTGCACCATCCTGGTCTCTGGTCAGCGTGCTCTGTCTTCTCCTCGGTTGGTAGTGCCCCTTCGGTTCCGGTGTGTTTTTTTCGTCGGCTCTTTCCTTTGGGCCTTTGCCTCTGGGGGTCCGTTCGCTGTGTTTTCTTGCTCCTTCGGTTTTAGCGTTTTGGTTGTTTGATGGCAGCAGTCTCCATCTTTTCTGGCGCGGGGTGGGGCTGCTGCATTCTGGAGGGGTCCAGGGTTTGTTGGTGCTTTGTTGGTCGGGCCGGGGGTGTGTCGTTTTTGTGTTTAGTGGCGGCCCTCTGCTGTTGTTTGCGTGCCACGGCGTTTGGGTCCGGAGCGCGTTTTGCGTTGATCCGGTTCTGTTCTTCCCGGTTCGCGGGTGATGGTGTCCCAGGTGGTCAGCCGTGTTCTTGCGGCTAAGCTGCCTGTGTTCTTCCCTCATGCCTGTGGCGTTCGTGGCTTCGCTGCTCTCGCTGCCGTCTGGGCGACGTGGCCTTGCAGTCTTTCGGGCATGGATTTTTGGTGTTCGTGCAGGGGCCTTGCTGCTCGTGGTTCTCGTGTTGTTCCCGGGATTTTCGGGGCTGTGGCGCCTTGGGTTGGCGTTTGCTGCCGGTTGTCTCGCCTCCTTGGGGGGTGCGTGGTGTCCGCCTCCCGGTTTTGTCCCTTTGACCTTCCTCTGTGGGTAGTTAGCTCCGGGGAGCCGACGGGGCTCCCCCCAGAAAACCAGCGTTGAATGTAATGAAACGCCATTTTCTGGGTGAGACCCGGAGGCTCCCCGGCAACCCTCCCTCCCTCCGGTCGGCGTTTTTCGCGTGTTTTGACATCCAGCCTCAGAACTGATGGGTGGATAGCCGGCGTGGGAGGTCTGGGGCTCCCCCTTCCCCCTCCCGGGGAGGGGGGAGCTGCGCAGACAGCGGCGCGGTGACGTATGACGTCATACTAGTTTCCGTGTTTTCTGTTGAAGAGTTCTATTCACTAGTTCGGCTTAGGTAGCAATTTTCACCAGAATAGGGGTTTGTTTTGGAATGCTTACCTTTCTGGATGCTTGACCCGGTCGATGGCAGACATAGAATGCTTCCAACCACACAGGGGTTTCTATAGGCCATTGCTCCCCTTGCCTCTCTGAGGGGGCCAGGTTCTGGCTCGTGGTCCCCGGTAGGCCCTAGAACTCCATACACATGACTGATGCCAAAGTCTGACATTAGCATATCAGCCGGTAAAGCTCCGGGGAGCCTCCGGGTCTCACCCAGAAAATGGCGTTTCATTACATTCAACGCTGGTTTTTTGCTTAATTGTAGATTAAGTTATGTAGTTTCCTGTTAGCATAATTGAGTCAAAGGCATTAATTAATGTACTGTATATGCTCGTATTCATGTACAATACATACATGCATACAGGCATTATGTATAAGCATAAAATTCTTTGAGCTTGTCATGTTTAAGCTTCGTGGTTTATTTAAGAAAATTAAATTTTTGAATCTTAAGAGCCTTTGCATCCTTGCTTAATACAGTATTATGCTCCAAAAAACTAGAGGGTTGGATGAATATATTGATGCACCCAACTGGAGTTTGACCGCAGGTGTACTTATCTAGGTATGTTAGTACAAGAGCCTTGTGTGATCTAATAGTGAATTTGACACAACTGGAAATTCAATGTAACTACAGTATTTTATATTTATGTAAATGCACATAAAAAAATTTCTGTCTACAAATAATATGCTTTATTTTTATGCATACAAGTATTATATATATTTTTAATGAAGTCATGTAATAAAGCCAAGAACTAAAGAGCGGTCATTACTCAGTATTGAGTTTTGCTTTTTTAAGGAGTTTCTTTGCAATTTATATTTTTAACACTTTTTAGTTAGAAATGCACTAGCTAACTTATTAAGGGATTTTCCTTTTGGCATTTTTTTTGTGAAGTAGCTACTACAGTACTGTATACAAATTTTGAAATTTATCTTATTCCATGATAAAATATTAAATAGTAACTAACAAAGAGACTTGCCTCATATTTTGCAACTTTTTGTATTTAACATTGTGTATTATGTATTATGCAGTATGAGACATATTACAGCTGGTGACTACAGAGTAACACGCACTGAAGATGCTTTTCAAGAGCTAAATAAAAAATCTGCAAACCTCAAGCGCATCCTGTCCCGCATCCCAGATGAGATAACAGACAGGAAGACATTCTTGGAAACCATTAAGTAAGCTTAATTATTAAAGTAATTGGACTTAAATTAGTTTGTTTTTCCATTGCTTGTCTTCTAAAACCTTCCCTCCCCCCACCTTTTGGAAACATGTTCTAGTTCAACCTGTCCCAAGGAAAGATTACCATTCCAACTCCTCAAATTATTGCCCTCACTTCTCCTCTCCGTTGTACTGTATTTCATTCTGTCTATAATGGAAGATTTCATAAACCTTTATCATTTCAATCTTCTATCTGATTACTAATATAGAGTCTGAAGGGAGGCTTTTCAATCCTATTCTGTTTTTTCAATTCTTAATAATAAAGACATTGCTCTTAGTGGTCACTTTATAAAATTATAAATTATGCTTTTTATATAGATTCTAATCCTGATGGGACATGTTGCTGAGTTGATTAGGGTGTACATATAAAGAGTGCTAAACTCCTTTTGACAGAGAAATTGCAAGTGCTATCAAGAAGCTGTTGGATGCTGTGTCGGAAGTCTCTCAGTACATACCAGGCACACAAGGGAAGCAAGCATTGGAACACCGTAAGCGGGATTTTGTAAAGCACAGCAAGAAGTTTAGCAACACACTCAAGGAGTACTTCAAGGAGGGACAGTAAGCCATTTTTATAACATTTTAATTTATAGTAGAAATATTAATGTGAATGTGTGATAAAAATTGTTTTTATTCTTACCCACAACACATTCACACATAAGCAAGTAAGCCAGGCAGACAACCAGCCACACAGACTAATTCACATACGTGGACAGACAACCAGACATGCAGACTGACTGACAGACATACTATAAAGTTATTAAAAAGCAAGTTTCAGGTCAAGGATAAAATATAGAGGTTGGAAATGGGAAACAGATTCACAAAATTAAAAGGAAATGTGTGGAACACTAAATGAACAGTTCCAAAGTGTGTGTGTATTGTGTCAAGATTCAGAGAAGCAGGTACAATACAGATGTGAAGCAGGTACAATACAGATGTCGGAGAACAACATAGAGTACATAGAAGTGTATAGAGGTGAAATTCAAAAACTGCTCAAGAAGCTAGGGTTGGCCCAGATGCAATCTCATCTTGGGTTCTGAGGGAATGTGCACCTGAACTGAGAATTTCATTTGATTTGATTTTTCAGGGATCTTTATATACAAGAATCTTATTGGATATATAAACAAATTCAAACATAACTCCACTCGACAAGAGTGATAGCAGAGAAGAAAATTAATGACCTGTGTCATTGACAGCATGGCAGTCAAAATATTAAAAAAAAAAAAAAAAAAAAAAAATAGAAAAATTATTAAACGAAATGGGTAGAATACCTGGAATGACATAATAACAGACAATATGCTTTCGCACAGGATGAGTCTGTGTAACAAATCTACTTAGAACAAATGTACTAAGTGCAGCATATGTTCCTCACACAATGTCCTTTAATTTTAGATAATATAAATAAATGGGTGGCCATACCGTATACTGTACCTGATTTATTTATTTTTTGTTTAAATGTTCTGCAATAATTAACTAACTACTCTCCTTTCACCATAATAGGGCCAATGCTGTATTTGTGAGTGCCACGTATCTCATTCACCAGACCAACCTCATCATGCTCACTGTCAAAGACAAATGTGAATGAATTCTACAGTGTGAAACTAGACCGATGGATGCAAGATATTGCTCTGGTGCACGATGCTTGCTGCAAACTCACCTAAAGGTATAAAGTCTGGCCACTGGTGTAGAAATTCTTAGGTGTATTGGTATAGCCAGGCAGTACTAGTAGTGAGCCATTTCTGAAAACTCCAGAGTGGAGGAAAAAATTAAGGTTTGACATTGAGTGCTTGATGCAAGAATAGTATTGGTAATGATTATCAAGTTTTCATAAGAAAGGGATTTATTTAGAGATGATTACTGATCAAATCTTCGTGCATATTTTTATTGTGTTGGTCATCACGTTGTGATGGTGGCTAAGTGTATTGGGAAAAAATAAGGTTGCCAGTTAGCCAAAATAATGTAGCTTTTGGGTGTTAGGTGATGATTCAACCTGTCCTCTTAAGTTGTCACAACAGACAAAAAAAGGTGTACTAACACATGTGAACCTAACTTATCAACCCATGCATAGAAAATATGGTTGTTTGTGAGCCGCTATGATTTATATTATGTATGTATGCCATATTTTGTCCGTTTGGGATTTTGGCATAAAAAATATGATGTGTTGGTTTGAGAGGACAGGTTGGATGATTTAGGTTGATGCTGTAGCAACTGTCATGTTGGATTTTAACTATACATGCAGCAGTCAATATAGACTTCTTTTTGTCTGCTTTTGGTAATGTGAAGATAAATATTTATTCTTATGCTGAACTGGTTAAGGACCATATATGGGTTTTATAATGTGCATATTGTGTACATACCGTCTTGTTGACTCTTTACTTGATGCCTACAGTGGGCAATACCTGGGTAGCCAAATTTGGCACAATCTACTCCAGTACTTAGTGAACCTTCACTGACTTGTGAGCCCTACAGTATGGAGAATCTAGTATGCAGATATCAGCAGAATTTCTTGAAGCATTGTGTTTGGGCTCTACGTATTCTGATACAGTTGTTGATATATGTATATTTTCTCACAGCCATAAAGTATAATATCAGTATTTATCTTTATTTAAGCCCCATACAGTTTTAATATAAATACTATAAAAGACAAAACTTGGATTTTAACAGACCTCTCCCAAGTACATATCCACACTAAGGAAGAATGCTTATTTTGCAAATGAAAACTAGCCTTTGTTGTAAAAGGGTCAGTTATTTAAGAATGTTTAATTATTCCAAAACAACAATGGTAATGTAAACCCAATGACCAAATGTGAACAGGGAGTAGTCATTGTCTGGATTTGCTGGATGATTTTTATGGATGCTTAATTATAGTAGTCGAGTTTAACACGTAAGGTCGAATTGGTTTAGAGTCGACTCTACACTTGGTACTGATCCTTTCATTACTTTGATCACTTTTTTTTTTTTTCAAGCTAGAAAATATTGTGGTAAGCATTAGTTTTGTGCAGTTGAGTTTACTAGAGCTCAATTTGTATAATTTTATTAGTTCTGTATAAAGTTTTAAGCTTATTGACTCATTACCATATACAGTATTTAGTTTTGTAGATACTGAACAACAATATAAATTTAGTAAGGAAAGCAAATCAAGTTGAATTTTTGTAGTTAATAAAGGTAGGCATAATGTTAAATTCCTGAGATCATTAAAAAAATCCAGGGGCTGAGAAATTAAGGATATGGAAAAGCTTTAAATGTTAAGAGAAACGAGATTCCATAGTAGTGGAATAGTTTGGTAAGGGATGAATTAAGAAGTAGAGAAAAATCCCTGTTGAAATGTGAATTAGCACATGACATTAATATTTGAGAAGATTACATTTATGGTTGGAATGTTAGTCGATGCCTTCAGGGAGGAGATGATTAATATGTTGGGACCAAAGTGAGTGGAAGAGTGGTGATGTGACCCACAACAGTATAATGCTAAACATAATTTAAGGACAACTGAAGCTTGAATTCATAAAAGGATTATCAAAACTGATAGATGGATATATTCTTATTGTCTTTCTACAGTGTCCATGATTTCCATATACAAACACAGCAAAGTAAAGCAGTTTCATTCTTCTCTCAGCATACTAGTTTAACATGTTTATATATTGATGAATCAAGACTCCCGGGCAGCACTTTAAGTGTTATTTTAAGAATTTTTATGCATGTTTGGCTTTAGCAAACGTAAAGCACTTGCATTTTGGTTTTACTGTTGGGAAAACAATTATGTATGAAAATACTGCTTATAGATTGAAAAATTATCCAAGTTTGACTATACAAATATACATTTTTTTTTCTTTTTTGACATATGCCAAGAGGTTATATGCTGCTTTTCAGTTTACTGCTTTTACTTTATCATTAAACAAAGTACAGCAAAAACAAACATTAGGGACACAAAAGAAATAGTGGAGCTTATATTTCAAAATATTTTAGATGTGTGAAAACTTTGCAACCTAATAGATATATGAAGAGAAGCAGAACAAGAATGAAAATTCTTTCTGGAAATTAAAACTTTATTTACCAAACGTATTGATAAAGTGTTTAAATCTTTACATTAAATGTTTGCCGAGATACAATGCACAGTACAATATTGTACTTTGAATGCTTTTCACATACAAGAAGTTCTTAGATGTAAAGTACTGTACATAATATTTATAACCGTGTATTGCAGTGAAAAGCAAAATAATAAATTGGCAGCCCCTTAAAGTCGTGGGAATTCCAGTGAAGCTTTAGTATGTAATTATGACAAAAATATTTTCACATTTGCACGAAGTATACTCTGAAAATATTGTAGGTATATTGAAAGCTACACTGTTGAGAGAAAATTACCAGTGTCTGTGGTAGAGGTCAATCATACATTTTTTTAATTGTCAGGCACAAAAAGCTAAGCAAATTTTCCACATGATTGTGCTAATTAGTATATACTTATTATATATTCAGTATAAGCTCACAAATATATATAAATATAAAAGTCTGCAATTTCAGTTAGTAAAATCAATGATTTTTGCATTAAGAACAAAATAGCAAAACAATATATGTACAGTACTCTTGCACAGTAGAATATATATGGAGTGTAGCAAATGGTAGTATTTGGTGAACACATGTTAACAGAGATGATGTTAACCTGTTCCAAATGGTAAGATGTTACTTGGGCAGGAGGCCAGCTAGTTGAGAGAGCAAAATGCAAGGTATTGTACGGTACTGTCCCACACGACTGAATACCAAAATGTTCATCGAGATTATTACTGGTTCTATCCATGAGGAGGAGCAGTAGTGTTATACACAAGGCATTCCGTGACCTAAGATTATTAGTCGACTAATGAGAACTGAGAACACAGTATGCATACGTACACCATCTGGTGCGTCAGAGGTGTAATGATGTGTGGGGGTGTACCATCTGGTACCAGCTGGTACACCCCACACATCAGAGGACGCTAGAAAAACATACAAGGTAATTATATTGACATAATCAGGCTGGTGCAGAAAAATCTGCACTGATGATCCTTTGTAAAATATAATGGAAATTCTAAGGTAAAGTCATTTGTATATTGTATATCTTTTTAAAAATAACTTCAACAATGTATTTTTTTACTTTGCATTTGGATGTCAAATAAATCTTGAAATTTATATCACAATATTTTTTAGGAAATGTTAATATATTATTAAGATGTATTTCTCATTAAGATATAAGTGATGTTAAATGTTTGGTTCACTAAATGTTGTGATAAGAGACTCGTACAAGTTTGTGTGTCATATCTTTTCCATTTTATTTAGGTGGAAACCATATACTGTATAAATAAGTATAGGAAGTCAGTAAAAGAAGATCAGTTATTAGACTGACTAGATTTATTGGGGGGGAGAAGGGGAGGGAGGGAGAAAGAGAGCGGTGCCATTACAGTGCATTTTTTTTACAGTATTTGTAAGGATACATAGTGTACAGATATGAAAATATGGCACACAAAACTAGAGGGCCTGATAGCGCGTAACAATTGACATTACCTGAAAATGCAAGCACTGTTGGTTGTTGTAACAAAAGTTGTAATAAAAAACCTCGCACTCAAAATAAATAAAATACTTTGTGGCAAGATGAAAGAAAAACCTGGTGTTCTTATCTATAGACAACAGCTTTATTGTTTTGTGAATGTAATAATATCCAAGTGATGTGCCCAAGACAATACAATAATAAAAAAAAGTGCCACTAAAAAAAACCACTCCTCAAAGAGCAGGGAAATTTTTCTAGAACTTCCTTTAAATTACCAGGATGGTACACAACAATTCTCTGTAAACTAAAAGCAATTTAGTCTGTTCCTAAATACAGTAGGTATCTTTACCAGGAAAAAAAAAATGGGTTACAATAACCTGACTGATAATATTTAGGGTTTATGAACCTAAAGTTTCATTAATTATGAAATAGTTATTTCTGTGCATGTTTCTTCATTTATGATGTATCAAAGCCTTAGTGTGTGAAATATATCAGGGTACATTATTTTACTTTGTGCACTAGCAACTAGTTTAGTGTGGGTCTACTCAGTGGAATGGCTAATTGTTTATTACGATTTCTAATAAACAATAACTGAATGGTGAAAATAAAATAAATTTGATTAGCTAATGTGCTAAATTATTGTCTTTTGTGAAAAAAAGCTTCCTTTATTGAAGATTTATCTTTTGAGTTAATTTTTCATAAATCTGAATTATAATTGGATAGAATATGCTGTATAGATTTGTGACTAGCTCTCCATACACTCCCTCATAAGGAATTTCATATACCTACCATTTCTTCTTGTATTGTTATCATTACATTTCTAACAGCTGCTTATACTGTACAGTTAATTGTTAATATTAAATAAGGGATATTCATACTGTGAATTAGGTTGTACGTTTACTGTGTTTTCATTATATTTCATGTAATTTTCTACAAGGGCCTTCTTTAATGAAATTTTGGTGACTAAGGATAACAGCATAGAACAAAAATGTATAATTTTGGTTACAGTTATACAAAGGTGAAAGTTATAGTACAAGTACAGGTGGCTCCTGATTCTAGATGGAACTATATTAAACTGCATAGAATTTTGTTAACAGCCACATGGAAATTTAATAGGATGTGCTCCAAGACAGTAGATTTTATTAGATAAAATATTAAATGCACTGCATATTGTATATTAAGATTTGTTAACAGTACACTTGAAAACGGTAGTACTGTACTGTACTCTGTAAACTTAAATAACAGAGTATCGTACTGTACACTGTTAAGCAACAGAGTATTGTACTGTAATAGAGAGGGAAGGGAAAAATAGGGAAGAGGAGGTATGGCTGAATCTATATTTTTGATCAAAATCTAAATCAGCTACGTATATATATTGTCTTAAAATATGCTCAATGCCTTTACTGTACCCAATGTGCTTTTCTTTAAATAAAACCTTGCCTGTACTGTGGGTGTAGTTTGGTATAATGACTCGTCACCATGCAAGCTTGTGTGGAATAGAAAATATACCATTAATATTTTAAAGGGAGCCGGTTGGCCGAGCGGACAGCACGCTATACTTGTGATCCTGTGGTCCTGGGTTCGATCCCGGGTGCCGGCGAGAAACAATGGGCAGAGTTTCTTTCACCCTATGCCCCTGTTACCTAGCAGTAAAATAGGTACCTGGGTGTTAGTGAGCTGTCACGGGCTGCTTCCTGGGAGTGGAGGCCTGGTCGAGGACCGGGCCGCAGGGACACTAAAGCCCCGAAATCACCTCAAGATAACCTCTCAAGATGGTCTCGATTATTTTACCGAATAGAAATGGGGTTTACTGTAGTGCAATATGAAATAATATAAAAGGTTGAAAGCAGGTTGAATATAATAAATAATTCAACAGAAGGTGAAGGAGATAATATACTGTATAGGGAGAAAATTCAAATTTACGACCATCTTGCACACACCATTTATGTTGTATATATCACCAAGATGGGTTACTTTATAGTTTTACTGAATTAATATTTACAAAATTTGTGGTGTCCACATAACATTTGGAGATGCCTGCAAAATATTTGTTTAAAACTTTCGCTTGATTTATGTAGG